TAGCTCTCTTGGGTCAGGCAACCTAGACAATCCGTCTGCGTTACCAAATTCTGTGGTCTCCCTATACTGTATCTCGAAAGAGTATAACATTAGGCCAACGCCCATCTATGCAGCCTTTTCGCTGCTATTACCGGTAGACCCTGTTTGGGGCCAAAGATCCTCAGTAAGGGTTGGTGATCGGTTAACAGCGTAAACCGTCGGCCATAAAGGAACTGATTGATTTTTCGACTCCATGCACTATCCCTAATGCCTCCTTCTCTATTTGTGCATAATTGCGTTCCTGATTTGTCAAGGAACGTGATGCATAAGTGATTACTTTCTCTGTCGCATCATCATATCTATGGTATAATACTGCTCCTATACCATACTCTGAGGCATCGGTAGCTAATACTACCGGAACATCAGGATTATAGTGCGCTAATGTATCTGTTGCTGTAAGCTTTTCACGGATCTTTGTGAAAGTTTCTCTTTCTTTAGCACCCCATCTCCACGGTGCACTTTCCTGCGCAGACTGTCCAACGGCGCTGCCAACGGAGCTAATCTAGGGATGAATTTCACATAGTACTGTATCATGCCTAGGTAAGACTCCAATTCTTTTATATTTCTAGGCTCTGGCATGTTCAGTATCGCTTTTAATTTACTAGGAGATGGTCTAATGCCCTTTTCATCGACCACGTGGCCTAAAAACTCCATTTCCTCCTTAAAAAATTCACATTTCCCTCTTTTGAGGTGGAATCCGACTTCATTCAGTCTATTCAAGACTTTCTCTAGTCTTTTTAAATGCGTTCCATCATCTGGACCTATAACAGTAATATCGTCCAGATAGATCAGCATGCCTTCGATTCCCGTCAGCGTCTCCTCCATTATCCGCTGGAATATTGCTGGTGCTGACGCAATTCCAAAAGGGATTCGCGTATACTCGAATAACCCCTTGTGCGTATCAATAGCAGTATACATCCTTGAGCTCTCTTCCAGCTCAACTTGCATATAAGCATCAGAAAGATAAACTTTCGAAAGCTTCTCGCCACCATGTAACATGTGAAACAAATCGTCTGGCTGTGTGGGTTCACCGTGACCTTATAGTCACCACAAATCTATATTTTCCCGCCTGATTTGGGCACAACCACCAGCGGTGTGACCCATTTACTATGCTCCACTCTTCTTATAATTCCCTTCAGCATCATTTCTCCCAATGTCGCCTCGACCTTGGGCCTCAACGCAATGGGTATTGGCCTAGCTCTGAAGAACTTAGGCACTACTACATCATTTTTAAACTTCAACTCTGCTCGTGCAGTCGAGCACTTGCCCAAATCATCTTAGAACAACCTCTTGTTGTTGCCTAGTATACGCACAATTTCTCCCTTGATTTCTATACTGGGCATTTGTGTAACCTTGTGAACCATCCCAAAATGTGGTCCACAATCTATCTGCAATTCTCTTATCATGTCTCGACCGCGTAAGGAGTGGGTCGCCTCCTTAAAGACATGAACATCCACTCTCGCCTCTCTCCCGGCGAACTTAACATTTAGTGGAACTCTTCCTTGGAACCTAATGCGAATATCATCAAGTGCAGTCGCGGCCACCGCAGCCTTGTTCAACTGTGGCTGACCTAACCTATTCCAGATCATCTCGTCAATAATGGAAAGAGATACACTGGTATCTAACTCGAATGGAGTCTTCTTCCCACTCACTTCCATCTCCAGCATTCTCGGTGGCTCCCACACCACCGGTCTACTTCAACATCTCCAACCGTATCAGCGGCTATCACCTCTCCATTCTGGCACTCCACATTTCTGGTGCCTGTTTCCCATCGTGCGGTGGGACTGTCTTGTCCAGTTTCCAGGCTGTCCTCCACTGGAATCGCACCGTTCCGCGTCATCTTCCGCGGCCTAGCTCGACGACAGTAAGTACGTCGTGACACAACTACTTTGTTCACGCTCTGAGTCACTAGTTCCTTTCCACTGTCGGAGATCCCAGCGGGCTCTTCCTCCACTTGGCGGGAGACTTTTTGGCCAGTTCTGGGGTTCTTCCAGCACGTCACTGCCAGGTGGCCTCTCTTCCCGCATACATTGCAGTATGCCTTCTCCTTCCTAAAACACTCATCACCGGCATGGCCAAGCGTTCCGCAAACCATGCATCTCATACTTCCGAGCTAGGCCCTTGCTCGGCCTTCCCTTTTGATCCTTCGTTTGCGCGCGCCCTGGCCTCTGTCGATTACGCTCATCTTTCCATGTTCTTACCTGAGCCACTCCCACCGGCTGAACTTGCTGCGAGCCTTCCTTAAGGTGTGGAGCGTTCACTCCTACACTTTCGAAAGCTTCCGCCTGCTCGAGCGCTTCCTTCGAGGATAGCTGTTCCTTTTCTAAATAGCGCTTCCTCGTCTCTATAGAAAGTAACCCACCGATGGAGACCATCGTCACTACTGCATCCCGATGATCCTTGATTTCTTCGAAACAACACGTATTCACCGCTTTCTGGAGCTCCGCGTAATACTCATGCAGCGACTGTCCTTGCTTCTGTGTCTTCGACATTGGCCCGAATCGTTCTGCTAATACCAGCTTTTTCGGCTGGTTATGCTGCTCCATCGCTGCCCGTAGATCCTTCAATGTTACTTCCTCCAATTCACGTCCCTGCAGGAGTGACTCCAGCAACTCGTAATTCGAGTTACCCACTTCCTGCAGGAATATAAGCCGCTGATCCCCTTCTTCTGTTACTTTCCTCAACACGAGTAAGTTGGCGAACAGCTTTCATCAGGTCCGCCACGATGTCCCCGGGACATAAGACCCCGGGGCTCGACTTCGGTACACCTCAGTACCGGGATCTCCCATCGTGGCTCTTCCGATGGCGCTGTTGCCAGTTTCCCTCTTCACTGATCCTTGTCCTCGGCCTTGTCCTTGTCCTTGTGCTGCTTCCATCGCGTTCGGCTGATCGCCAGTTCGTGTGCGTGAACAGGAAACGAGGGGGCGAATGATTTATTGCTCACTACCATCCTTTTTATACTCTCTCTAATAATCAGTCTACTATTTCCCTCACTTCTTCATACTTCACTTCCTCACCTTACCTCACCCCTCTACACCCCCCTTCCCCCTTATTGTAATCGGCAATCATCCGTTCTACTCCCTGTTGCCCTATCTTTCGTTTTCCTTATATCTAACATTGTCTCAATTCTCTCCCTATCAGTACTTCGGCCGGCGGCCTACCAGTCGCGTGATGGAGGTTCACTCTATACTCGAGGGCAATTCCGCCTGCACGTTTTCCGACTTCTTGCATTGCAGTAGTGACTCCAACAATTTGTAATTGCTGCCGCCTTTCTCTCGCAAAATTCCAGGCACATACGCGCCAGGTGCTCGTCCCCGGTAGACCTCCAGCAAGGTCCCGGGTTCCGCCACCGCCGACGCCTTCATGACGACTGCACTGCCCTGGTTCGTTGACATCCTCGCCACTGGTGTCTTCCATTTTCCTTGAAAACAGTCCACTGTTTCGTATGCAGCTTCAAATGCTTCGTTTGCCGCCCCAATGATTGCTGACGGCCTCCTCCGCTTCTTGAGCTTCCGAACTGACCGCCAGTAGGTTGCTTTAGAAAAACTGAGGGGGAATGCTAAATCCCACTCGAGATCACTCTTTTATACTGCCCTTGTTTACATCTTCGAGTAATCTTCTTCCACTCTCCGCATTCTGCTCTTCTCACTCTTTCTTCATCCACCGCCTAAAACCGCTACTCCCCCCCCCCCCCCCCCCCAGTAATAAGATAGCAAGGAGTTGCCAAGAAATATTTAAGCGGCTCTGCAGGAATTTTAGATATTTTGAATTACTGCTTTCTCTGAGACTAGATTTCTTGTTGTTGTTCGTACTTTTGGAAACTCTTAACACCTCACGTCTATTTTTGAGCTTTCGGCATATAATGCCTTCTTTTGGCCTCAGTTGTTTACAAAACATTGCTGCATACAATCAATTAACTATCGGCTACAATACAAAGCACATCATATCATAACAAGTCAGGATATATAAAAGCCATGTAAAGAGCTTACAAGCTTACAGTGAGAGTGTATTTTGATACTAATGAAGCTTGTAGGCCCTCTTCCGCAGTGAAACAGCTACCAATAGAGCGGGAACCGGGTTTTCAATGGATTTTGACCAGACGCACTCTAAGACCATGACATCCAGTAATGATTGCCTTTTTCTATCCGTTCATACGTCATCGTGAATTAGAAACCTAATTACGCGGTCATGCTTGGAATCACACGTTATCGGAGACATGGGACAGTACTATCTGTTCGTGTGGACACTGGGCGCTCTCATACTAGGTGCGGGTACCCACACTCCGGACTGTCGCCTAATCCTACACCCTAACAAAACGCCGGGCGAGCTGTGTTGTATTGTTCGAATCTAGCCACGCAATCTCCCTCTACTGTAGCTTCATTTAGGCGCTTCGTTAGAGTTGCTATTGGAAGAAATGATGCCAAGAGTGTCCGCACCAATGAAAGATCCGAATATAAAGGAAAAGATGTCAATATACGTTGTTTGCTCTTTGTCTTCTCCTTCCAAGATGTCATATTAAACAAAGGCTCTAGCGAGAGTTTGTCTAAGAGAAAAAGAATTTGGTAATACCTAATATCACTTCTAAAAGCCCACGACGAAGAGCACTTGGTTTTCCCATTCTATGACAAGTGACAGGTAAACATTTGATCGAGTGAAAATGAAGAATTTCTTAACATCCTCAACATCAAACGAGATCCTAATTATAGCACTTGGACCAGTGCATTCAACTAACATAAGTCAAAAATTACCACCGATCTCATTCTTGCTCAGAGGATCATGTTACATTTACATTGAACACTGGAAGAAAGATTACCTACAACAGAGGAAGTACGAGCAGCCGAATTAGGATTCTTATCTAGTGACTCCCTCGGAGCTTCAATTTCTTTGCGTAGCCTCTCATTCTCGAGTGTTTGCAAAAGTGAGCTTTCTTCCGACATTCTTTCTCTCAAGGAGTTCCTTCATGGCTGAGCTTTTATCGAACAAATGTGTTAAGATAGTCTTGGCATGCAAAGGAAGTAGATTATCGGAAGTTAGACACTTGACAGTCTCGAGCAGATCAACACTACTAATATAATGGCGAACGGCAAGGCGGCCTTCGTTTTACCGGAGGTTCTCCACGTAGGTGCACATACATATCAGCGATGAAATAGGAGCGGTAGAGACAGGCCGAAATCCCAATACATCAAACTTAGAAGAGCCGAAATAGAGGCAGAGTTGTCAGCGCAGGCAGACACAACCGCGCGTAGGGGCCGCAAGCCTGCGTCATATAAACCGTAACCTAAAATGGTTTCCCAGCAGTACACTGTGTAGAGAGCTACAACACATTGATCTCGATTACATTACATCAACATTAGTAACCTTTTCACCCGGTCTTCATCCCCTTGCAAAGCACAATTTTCGTTCCATCTGTTAGGCAGAGAAGAATTCTTCAAGTAAGCAACTGAATGAAATGGAGTTACGTTCAAAACCAAGGCTGCGTCACGGGAAAAAGTTCATCAGGAGAGAGAGATTAAAAGACAGAATATCAACTACAACCCTACTCATTTTAGACGGCCTCTTCTTAGATAATGGAAATGTCATTTAAACGAGGTTTGGCGCTATGTGGCACTCCTTTTGGAAGTCTTTCTTTCAATGGAATTGTTTCCTCCCCCTTCAAGTAGACTCTGGAAGCCTTGATCCCTCGAACTACAGCGCACAGTTCCCTAGCGGTACTGGAGTTTCCTACCAAACCTGAAGACAAGTTTGCAGGAAAGGAGATCTCCGAATTCCTATCGAAATAAAGAATCCCGCCTAAACCCAAGTCCGAGGCATCCGAAAAAGCCGGATACAGAGCTCATTAGAACTATCAATGGAAAGGCCATCAAATGAAGAATTTTGGAGGGCTCCAGGAATATTTATCTTCAGCCAAGAAGAAACCGACAAACATAAGATCACTACTTCGACTGCATCAATTCTTCGCGTGCGGAACTGGCCCATATCAGGCCGTCATCCAGATAAATAGCTACATTAATCCAATGCGACTTCCATTCACCCGAGAGGTACCTCATCAACTTAGTAAACACCATAGGTGCTGAACTGAGGCCAAATGGGAGAATCATGTTTTTGTAACATGTCCCTCGCCACTTGAAGCTAAAAAGTTGGTGTATACCGCTTCAATCTTCACGCGGTGGTACTCCGAATTCAAGTCGAATGACCCCATAAACCCCCCTCTGGGAAGTAGTGGAAGCACCCTTAACCAAATCTTCATACCTGACCTTGTACTTTTCCATCCACCTATTCAAATGCGAGAGGTCCAAAATTAGCCATAGCTTCTTCCCTACCCCCAGCAATAATGGATTCCTCAGACCATCCACGGACCCTATGCCCACTTCTTGAACCGCCCCAATAATCACCATATTTCGTATCTCCCCATCTGTGAAATCACTGTGGTCATACGCAGAGATAGAATTGGGCCTCTCGAAGCTAGTATGCCAACCTTCTCCGTAGGGGTAAAACCGTCTAATTATGACATTCTCACAAAGAGGACATACTCAAATCACACCAACAATGTCACTTATAATGAATATTTCCTGCTCTGAACTGACCTTCACGTCTTTCCTGAAGAGCGGCATTCCTGGGCAAAATGGCCGAAACAGCCGCAGCTGAAGCACATATCTCTGGGCCTGCCCGTCTGCTGGAATTTTCCAGGCATTTTCCGCTTTGAAAGGCAGGAACGTCAGTTGAGGGGCGCGGCCGATAGCGCCCCTCTAAAACGAGAGGGCTGTCTGCCCTGGAACCCTGCTGAAAACGCGATCCTGGAAGGAACAGTCTAAGAAGTCCCTATAAGCAGAGGAAATCTTCTGGTTTACGAAAACTGATTTGGAAGAACCTTTGTTCGAATACTTACTCCAAACCACGGATCTGGGCGGTGTTGGTTTCTTGACCTCCTTTTTCTTCTTTTCCCGTGGACGCCGCGAGAATCGGACTGGCCGACTTGAGCGGTTCCGTTTTTCTGTGTTGGTCGAAAAATTCACAAACTTCTGGGTCGGAGTCCGCTATGACCAAAAGTTCATTCCTCTGATGCAGTTGCGTTAACGCTTGGTGAAGAGTGCCTCTGTCTTCTCCTTCTTGCGAAGAGTCCGCGACAGGTGTTAGTATGTCGATTAGTTCTCCATTGAATTCGTACTGTCTACGCAGTGCAGTCCTTTTGAATGTCGGTTTAAGCGAAGTGCCTAGGCCGGTAGAGACCGGTGGCGGCTGGTGTACGGACACGATGCCAGCTTCCCTGGCTTGGGCTAGCAAGTCTTCCAAATCTCTTCTCCGCATCTGGAACAGGTTCTCTCCCGCTTCTAGTACGCAAACATCCTCGTCGTTGTGGTCCTCCATGTTGAAAACGAAACGACCGTCCACTAACTGCCGAAATTATGAGGCTACGCTTGTCCGCCCGTTCAACATGTGCTGCGACGGCGGTTCTAGAAACGTGTTGACAGCGCTGGCACATGATCTAGTGTTGTCAACACCTTTCTAGAGCCGCCGTCGCGGCACGCACGTGACACCCGTCGTGCACGCGTCGAACGGACGGACAGACGAACGGACGGAGGAATCGTTGAAGTCTGAAAACAGCCATCGGCGCCCGTGCAGCCCGTATTGCTGGAAACCCAAAACTCCCCAATTCTCGGTGGGGTGTGTGTACATTCGTGCGATTCGAGCTGCGCGCGGCAAGTTGCGCGGCGAAATCCAAAGCGATTCTGACGAATTTAGTGCCTATTATTGTTGCCCCAAATTCCAGTAAAGTAGATTAGTAGGATTAGCTGTTCATACTGATCTACTCTACTTCACGTTTGTGCCCCAACAATAGGCGCCAGGGCCGTTCGAATGGCCATTAACCTCGCCGCCCAGTTTGCCGCGCGCAGCTCGAATCGCACAAATGTATGATCCCCCTTCTCGGTGGGATACGGTAGACTCGTCGTTGTTCCTGCCCATGGTACTTCCCGATGCGTCGTACATGAGACGAGTTAATGATTTGTCCAATTAAANTTAGTTATGGCGTGAAAGGAAATATGTTTTGTGTGAAGTTCTGCGCTCATTGCTTTTAACCAATTTGGTTACAGGACCGTTGTCAACCGCGTGTGTAGTGACTCAGCGTTTTTGTCGTTTTCTCTGCGTCTCCCCAAATAGGCATTTCACCGCGAAGAGGATAGAGGGCAGACGAAAGAGGTGGCCATTCCTCAATCCCTCCTCTTACCATTGATACAATAAGATACTTAGCGAACACTGTCGGGTTAAGATCGAATCAATGGTGTTGCAGTTCTTCAAACGCCCATAAAACAAAGTAGCAAATGGATTGCAAACTTGGGTTTTCTACTAGCCACATAGATTTTTCGCGGTGTAGATGTTCTATATAGAAGTTTTATCTATATTTGGATAGAGATCAAGCCTTTGCTTCTCTCAGACTATCTGAATTCCGAAATAAGAAGTTTCCTTAGTTGGAAGAAGTCTGTCTTTCTGAAAATTATCATATTCTTGGACCCACCCGAATGTCTACTCTTGACGAAAGAGCGCTCTGTAGGAGAGTAGGGACAACGAGGGGACACGCCCTCCTCCCGCTGGTGAACACCGGACGCAGAAGTTGCCTCGCCGTCTGATCCTCTCAGCGAGAGAAACTCTGGTTGACAACAGCCCTGTAACCTTTTAATTTCACCATGAGATTACTGTAAGAAGCGAGTGCCGGTGCGAACATTTCGCTCCTGTAGCTGCACAATTCTACTGCACTAAAGTTTGCTTGCAAAAAGTTGTATTTCATTGAAATTCTGCATCACTTCGATTTTGCTAAGATCATTTGCTCTTTCGGCTTTCCTCGAGAAAATAAATTGTTTCCTTCTCATGCAACGAACCTTACAGGTGATTGATGACTGATAATCAATATGCTCCGTTGACAGCGAATATTGTCAGGACTCTGACGGATAAACTTTATGAGAAAAGAAAGGCTGCTGCTCTCGATATAGAAAAGTTAGTTAATTCCTTACACAGTCCTTAAAATAGCAGTAATAGCATGACTCGTTCCCTCGAAATTCAGTTTTATCGCAGAAAACATTTACTTCTTAGAGATCATCACGTACCATTGAAAACAGTTCAGGGGGCAAGTAAAGGCATCTCCGGTTCTAAGCACCTTGAAAATGAAACCAGTCCCATTGCAAAAGCGCTTCCATCACTTTATTAAGTCAGTAGTAAATAGTAAATGAATGTAGCCTGCTGCTAGTGGGATAACTTTTCTGTCGCATACATTCAACTGCTACGAATCGTAAACACTGCCTTTCAGGTTGGTCCGTGATCTTCATGCAACAAATCAGTTGTCGCAATTGGAGAAGCTTCTCACGGTTCTCCGTGAGTTGGCTATGGCATCCAATGGTCACACCCGGAAAGGCGGTCTTATAGGATTGGCAGCAGCGGCTATCGCGCTCGGAAAGGTTTTTGTTATACTTCTGTTTCAGAGGATCAAATATGTTTGTCCTTTGTGGTATAGTTTTTCCTGCCGGACAGATTGATTGGGCACATACAGGCCATCACTTTTTTCTTCCTCAGCATGTTTTAGCTAATCTTTTGGCTTGAATTCCATCAATACATCAATTTTTTGTCAGTTCTACGTTCGTAATAGCTTGCATCTAGCACCGGTGCACGTTGTAGAGTACCATGCAAATCCATGAAGACCGTCTTGATGTCTATATTTTTGCCCCACTCATACTATTTTCGAAGATGTCATTCGTGGCTTACAGCAATCAAAACTTTTTTCTTACTTTCCTTTGGTTGAGTTTTTTCACTGGCAATATCAGATGTGCAAGCCATATTGATAGATAAACAACGTGTTTCTTCAGAACGCTCCACCCTATACAGTGCATTTGATAGAACCAGTACTGTCGTGTTTCAATGACCCGGATTTGCGAGTGCGATACTATGCTTGTGAGGTACATGGTTATCTTTATCTTTGTAGGCTTTACTCAACTATGTCGTTACACTTATTTCAGTCCCTTTATAATATCGTCAAGATCTGCAAAACAGCTGTGCTCAGTCATTTCGACCAATTATTTGATGTTATGTGGAAGGTTTATGAAATTCACTCTTCCGGCAAAGCAGAGCATTTAACAAAGTTTCTGTTTTATTTACTATTGGATTGTTTAGCTATCTGCTGACACCGACCAAAATGTGCGCAGTGGAGCAGAGCTTCTTGACCGCTTGCTAATGGTTTGTAAAATTTTAATCTTCTCAGTACCATCAGCCTTTTTTATACTTTCCAGGATATCGTTGTATCTAAAGAAGATTTTGATATTGCCAACTTGATGAGCCTTATTCGAGACCGCATTTATGTGCAGACAAGCTCCAACAGGAAATTTATTGTGACATGGGTTGGTGTCTGTGAACCTCAACTATCGCCATATTGACAACAATTTCTTAACATTTAGCTGAACGTTATGCTGACAACTCCAGCATTCAATTTGCTACCATACGTTGCTGAGGTGTCAGACGGGCTTTTTCGAATGTTAGCTGATGGTCAGCCCGCTGTTCGAGATGTGACTGAAACATTACTGGGACAGTTTTTACAAGGCATTCACAACAAGCCGGAAGCCCTCAGTCCCGTGAGTCTTGTTTTGTTATGAATTGGCTTTCGGGCATCGGAAACTACGCTACTGAATATTATGGTCTCCTAAAAAGAACAAGTAACAGGTGGTCCGCCTTCCTTTACTTTGCTTTACTCCTTCAAATACCTTTGTTGAACATGTTATTCTATTTCGTGAATCTACCATCCTCTAGGATTGGGAACTGCATTTTGAGTGTGGGATTTGTCAATCTACAAAATGCAGATTTGTTTGAGGAGGATCGGTCGCAAATGGTTAGCGTACTTCTTGCCCATGCTCACGAGGATGAACCTCCTCTAGGAAGAAAACTGGCTCTAATATGGATGGATGAGTTCATAAGGTTAGAAGTTATTCTAGACTATTGCAATATTTGTTAATCACCTCTGTTTTTTGTCTTTAACTTCCATTTAATCTACATAAATAGGCTTATTTCTTTGTATTTCTCAGAATATACAAAGAAAAGATGCTTCCATATTTGTCGACTTACTTGACCGCGGTTCTGCCATCATTGGATTGTGAAGATTTGAAGGGTAGGACACTCCAGAGCGAGCTCAATGCCTAATAATGAACATGATTTATTGTTTTCAGCAAAAAGTGTCAATGATTATCTTCTCCTCCTCATTGATATGAACAGCAAGATAGATGAACAGACGATGGCCTGCGTAGTTGGTTCGTATTCTTTGAATTGATTTGCTACTATCATATTAACCTTTTTTGTTCTGAGATGATGAGTAACCGAAATGGATAATAATCAACGGGTAATTGTTATTGTGCTCAGAGGTACTGTTGAAGTTTGTTGGTTATGGGAAACAAGAAACGAGGATAGCTGTTCTGAACTGGATCCGGCACTTAAATGCAACTATGCCTTCTCAGGTAGCGTTACTCCGCTTTTTTCTTAATCGGCGTTTTGGCCCTGGAATTAAGTCCCATCTCGAACCATCTATCTATCATTTTCTGAGTTTTTTTTTTCATCATGACAATCCTGCCAAAACTGTGGTAAAGTTGACAGTTTTTCTTTCGTCTTTGTTTTACTTGATAAACCAGTATAAAGATTTGCATTATCGCTCAAAGGGTAGAATTCGTATCTTTCAGTTGTTTGTACACATGGAACGAATCTTCCCCGTGCTTTTGGGAACTCTCTCGGACACCTCGGATGAGGTTTGTTTGAAATCTTTTGTTTATTACTCTTTTCACATCTGATACATTTGTGGTCGAATTTTTTTATTCTTGAGCGTACTTTTGAGTAAACGATAAAAATTTTTGGTTCCCGGCATTCTTCATTTGAACAGTTCGCGATCTATATGCACTTTTATCGTCTGTTTTTTTTTTTTAATTTTCGATTTTACTTGGCGGGGTTGTAAGACCATTGGCACGATTTTCTACGAATGAGTGTAACAGTTATCGCAACGTTGTTGGGAATTTTTCGCTTTTGAAAAAGAAAGCCGGTGATAGATCGCAGGAAACCATAGATAGTACTTGTAACGATGTCACTGTGACCGTTTCAAGCAAGTAGCATGTCTACAGTAAGGTGTAGTCCCACCAATAGAGTGAAAGCAGACTATTGCTACCGAGAATACCTTGTACCCTTTGTTGATTTAGGTTTTGCTCCTTGACCTCCATCTTCTATCGGATATCTGTCAATCAAACACTGAGCGCTACGATGTGGATTTATCAAGTTTTCAGCTGAGCGAGGACACTTTAAAAAACGTAAGAATTCAATATGTACATATCTTGGCAAGGCTCGTCGTGGAATTATTTTCATCGTATATTTACTCAGCTAGCTCCAGTGTCCCCTTCACTCGTCAAATTTGCTGTCAGTCTTTTGGAAATGTTTCGTGCAGAGCCTGCCCTTCTCAACGATAGAGGAGTCCTAATTATTCGGTAAATGTTGTTGGGTTCTTCCACACTCTGTTTTTACGTTAATACTTTTCTATAATTACTTATCGACATCTTTTAGACAGCTCTGTCTTCTCATGGAGCCGGCGCATATATACCGCGCACTTTGTGTGTTGCTTCTGAGAGAACAAAGCATCACTTTCATTCAAGTAAGGCAACTCCACTAAACTTACTAGTTTTTGTTTTGTGACTAACACTTATATCTAGATCTCGACCACTTAAAATTCAGAATGCCGTCTCAATGTTGCATGGAGTTTTACTCACTGCTACCGAGTTATTCATTTTGCGCGATCAGCTAAGGAAGCTGGAGGGAAAGGTGACAATCGCGTCATTTCTATTTGACCTTGTTTTTACGAGCTACCTTGTATTTTGCTTTCATGGTTCATGGTATAAGCGCACTGTTGTTTTTTGCTTCCAGCCACCAAGTAGAAGAGTGGCATCGAAAACTGTTGGCATATAAGAAAACGATTTTTCGCATATGAGATTCTTTCAATGTAACTCCTCGTTCAGGATTCAATATCATTATTCGAATGCGTTTTTCGGTGTTGGTGTTACCGACCTATCGCGCTTCTGGGATTATGTCTTCTCTCCCAAAACTATGCGCAAGCAGCTGAAATCGCTTTACTTCTGTCAGAGGTACTCATAATTTACTGTCATTGTTTGTGTTATTGTGCTGTGTTCCCATTTTTCAGTGTTTCAACGCTTTTCCCTGATCACAGTGCTGATTTCCCCTGTCCAAGGTCTTAAAGCAGTTTGTGTGCTGAATTTTTTAGGTGGATATGACTTTGGATGTACTGGTCGAAATTGACAAGCTGGTCAATATGATAGAAAGCCCTGTGCTAGCTTGTGAGTCTCATTTATTATTACTAGCTTTATGTTTGGGATAATATGATATTATTTCATCTAACGGTTGAATAGTGGTTTTTGTCATTGGTTGACATTGCCCTGTATCCCGCTATGCTCTTTCATACTAAGCTGACGTTGCTACGATTTCCTCCCCCTTTGTTCTCATGTATTTATTAAATGATTCGCTTGTTACCAGGCTAGTATATGCTATCTTTTGCAGATGTACGTATGGATTTATTGTCAGCATGTCATCAACGATCTCTTTCAACTGTGCTGTCAGCTTTGTTAATGTTGATGCCCCAATCCGATGCTTTTCATACATTACACAAACGTTTGCAAGCTGTTCCCGCTCTCACCGTCATCGGGTATGTCTATATTTTTATATAGCACCTTTTCTTGACTATCAATTCGTACTCTTGGTTGAGATTTTCGCATCTTTTTTTCTACATCCGAAGGTGAATTGTCTTTCTGGCTGTCGCAACTTCAGCAGCAACTTCTTGTTCTATGTCGTCAGCTGCTTAACAATAAGTGAAATTGCAAAATACAGCATGCCCAAATACATGAATCGAAAGCATCTTATGCCATAAAAAAAAGGATAAAGTTTTTGGCGTTAATCAATCCCGTCTGAGGGATGCGCCCCCGCACTCGACTTCCATTCAGAATCGTAGTGGCGTAATGAGTGCGTATGTGGCCTATACAATGACTTGCGGTGGCCAGCCGATGTACAAGTCAGTGCTTTTATCCTCCCAGACGAATCTGGTACCAATTAACCGACCCCGGAGGGATGGAAGGCTTGGTTGGCCTAGGCGGGCATCGATCCGCATCGATCTTATGCCATACTAACTCTTTATTAATTACTGCGTACATTGCATTTCATTAATGCAATTTGTACGCCCGCTCGTATATTGATGCCATGTCCATCAATATTATCATTCTTGTGCCCCTCTTGAACACTAAAGTGGCCCTGCTGTTTGTTTAGATTTGCAATTTTTAAAAGAAGAAAAGCCAAAGAATTACTCATGTTATAATCTCTTCTTCACTTTGTCAGTCCTAGTGGTCGTTCATGGAATTTTCTGCGGGCGACCAGTTTTAATGGTGCTTCTTGGCCAGAGAGACCGGACGAGCTTCATGACCATAAAACAAAGGTGCTGCTGAAGTCAGAACTGTGCTACCTGATACGGGATACACAGCAGTAATGTGTTATGCGATAATGATGGGGTGATTGGTTAGAGGTGTCTACCTTTGAGTTTTTCCAATGGAACCTATCAATTCAGATAGGTTCTGTCGGAAGATGAATCGCTCCATCGTTCAGGAAATTTTGATACAGTCAATCTTACCCATCGTTCAAAGCATTTTAGTGTTGAAGGGCTTTTGTTTCATCACGTTTACATAAAAGTATAACCACCTATAAGAAATTGTCGGGGTTCGGAATGGGCAATTTTTATGCCAAGCGTTTTCGCCTGACTTTGCGCTTTCGGGATTTCATGCTCCATTATTTTGGAAGTGTTAACGACGTCTGAAATAAGTCAAATGGTAAAGCGTAGTAAGTTATAAGTTTATTACGCTTGCGGAAGGCAAACGTGAGAAAGAAAACAAAACACAACTTAAATATTAAACATGTGTACAAGCAGCCGATGCACGATGATAAATAGTTAGTTAATCAGTCTCAAGAAACGTTAGGACCAGTTCTCTTCAGCAGCAACTTAACTACTTGGCCTTCGAAATGTGCTAGAAATGAAGAGAGGGTATATTTTTCACCACACTTAGATAATCACTGCCAGCCCTGAAGGTAAAGCTACTCGCTCGCAAGTTAGTTTTAGGACGTGCCAAAGAAATCTTCATGCAGCCACCACTAGTCCTCGAATGTGTCAGCTTGAAATATTGGAACCGTGACCACACGTGTCGTGTACAAGTTTGTGAACCATGCAAAGATCGAAAACCCTGCATCGCGTTTCTAAAGATGTCAGTCCAAGATACTGATTCCTGATAGCTGCCTTTGGTATTCTGGAGTGCAAAATTCCACCAATTCGAATGAGCAGCTTACGAGTAAAGTTATTCTGAACCTTTTCAAGCGCATAGACATGCTTCCTTTTCTTGCTGTTGAAAACCGTATATGTTATGTTATGTTTGTTATGTTATGTTTATTACGTTGCTAAGGCAAACGTAGTATAAAAGGATCACAACCTTATGGAAACAACTCAAATAACGGAATAAATGGAAGGGACCCATGTAAATAGAGACCACGTAAAATGAGGTAACAGTCAAATGTCAAGGTTAGATATAGAACAAAGGCGTGGAAGAAGTGGTCAGTAAGGAACTATGAAAGCTCATACTTAGATAAAATAGGTACCACAGTGCGTTTGAACTTAGACAAGGAATCCGGAGTGTTCAAGTTTTTTGTTATCTTTTTGTAGAGGCTAGCCGCTCTAAATGTGAAACTTTTGGCTCTTACACTGGTTCTGGGCCTAAGAAGATTTATTTTAGTCTGACCGCCTCTAGTTCGAGATTGAGCCATTTTATAAAGATCAAAGGAACCAAATATATTACTTCGGTACAGTNGCAGCTCCTTCATAGTTGAGGCGGATGTCTGTGAAAAGAGAGGAACATTAGCATCTTCGTTCGAGAAGGACTTTGAGAACTGGTCAGCAAACATGTTAGCTTTGTCATCTGGACTGCACGCTATGAAGTCTCCACATCTCAGAGGCCCGATGCACCCTTTGTCATGCAATTTTCCATTCAAATACCTGTAAAAGTTTGTATCACCAGACTCTACAATCTTCTTCTCGATGTTACTGAAGTACTTTCTGAGGCGTGTGAGAAAAATCCCTGTGAATTCACTGTACTTGGACCAGTTTCCGGTTCGTCTTGCTTCAAGGAAGAGGCAATCCCGATGCTCACTCATGTTCCTCAAATAACGTGGTAAAGGAATAGACTTAAACGAGGTCACCTTCTCCCAAGGGACATAGTAATCAATGGCAGTGTGCAGTACTGTCAATAGCAACTCATACTTCTTATTGACACTACCACAGCTCTCAAGTAAGTCAACCCAGTGTATGCGAGAAAGATCACTCCGTAAAGCTCCAAAGTCACATGCAGAATATACTCTCCGAAAAGAGCTTAATGCCTTGCTGCCATACCCGACGATTTCAAACGTGATGCTGCTGTGGTCACTGTACCCAACTGGAGAAAGTATTCTCAGACTATTAACAAGATCCGGCTTGCTGCTGAGAACCAGGTCCAGAATCTTACCTAGTCTAGTCGGTTCTTTAACATGCTGCGTTAAATTGTGACTATGCAGCAACTCACGAAAAGACGAAAAAATAGAACCATCGTCGAGCTTGACTTGAAAGTTTTTCGAAATACAAAAGTCTCATACTAACAAATCAAGCGATTCTAAACAAAGAATTGTAGAGTCCACAAATAAGAAAAACGGGAGAAAATATATTAAGCTGGACTTCCTGTATGCTCGTAAGATCTTTTCAAGATACGCTGTCTGAAGAGCCTAATTTGTCATTTTTTTGTTCGAGGGCTTCGCATTCCATTAATTTACTGAAGAGTGTCGAAAAGTAGTTTCGCTCTTTCCCGTTAATTTTCGGTTTTCTGTGTAATACACTGACACTAACGTATCGTGCGTGAAAACACTTTCGACCAATTCAGCACGAACTGTTATGTTGTTAGTAATTATACAGTGTTCGAGTCAATGTTCAGTGAGAGAAAGCATGTTCGTGTGATGAAGCGCTATTCTGATACGGCAGGTATAAGCATTTGAGAGCAAAGCTCCGACGATATCAGTCGATGTCTGCGAAATCAATGAAATACAAAAAGTACGTCTTCAAACTAGAAGATTGCTGATAGCGGCTATAATAGTCACCGCGTGGCTAAACATTCAATTAGCTCTTGAAGAATTACTTCAATGTGGATGTGCTGTATTCCCTTGAACCGCAACGTGAAGAACTTACTTCAGAAAAGAGAGCCCGCCCTCAAAGCCGAAAGTCAACTTCGCACCGCTGTTCGAGTGTCTTCGCTCTGCGCTTACTCGACGGCAAACCGAGATCAGGCGGAAGCATCGTGACGTTCTCTTAGCATCAATCCAAAAGATGAATATGCGTTGACCATAGGCTTTGACCAAGTTGTCTCTATTATGGAATGAGTTTATTATTTCTTTCACCAACCTCAGTGAGTATCCCATCCTTAACCCATACGAGCTCTTGTTATTCGCTTACATCCCATACAGGGTACGTTGGAAACGTTATCATCTTCTACTTGTTTAAGAAGTGCTTGGTTGAATTTCCGTGATTTCGCATGTGATATGAAAATCTCTATATGCTGTGCCTTCAAATTGTCAATGTTGTCGCACTTGATGAAAAGGTAGTTTTCACGATTGAAGAATTCTGTAATCCGCTGGTATCACTCGTAGGAGGTCCTTGGCGCCTTAGGAATGCACTTTTCACGGCAAATCGCATCCCGGGTTTAGATGTGTTCTGAACACCTTGAAGAGTTCCTTTTATATATGAAAAGTGTAGTTAAATGTGGTGAGGAAGGTACGATCTTCGTTCACTGTGAACACTGCCTTTGCCAGAAGTGTTGGACGCCGTTTGATGTTGAATTTTGATATTAGTTCTTGAAATAGTATTTATTTATAATTTATTACATGTAATCGCACAACATATAATAAAACTTATAAGATGTTTCTTGCGTGAGGAATAGTAGTGCTTTTTCGCTTGGGAAATTCAGGTGTGCGAGTGTTGCTGGTTGCTGGCGCTCTTACAACGGTATCGGTATAAGAATCGTCGCAACGGAGAACCTTTTTTTTCTTGTGCTCAGAAAACATCTAGTCCGAAGAAACAACTGTGTGCCTAGCCTATATATGCTCAAGCAAATTACCCACGAGTCTTATGCGAATAATGTTGTGCCGAGGACTCTCTGGTTCTCAAAGTCGTATATAAGGAAGGGTAGTGTCTTGAATCATGGCTTCTTTTTCCATTTGTCTCGCCTTTATTCAGTCTTTTTCTAGAGTGCATTGGATCAGAGAGTGCCGAATTTGTCCTAGGGGCAGTGCCAGGATGAAAACGGTGAACTGTTTGTTTGGAGGCTGGTCACACCACAAGGTGCGCCACCAACGGTGCAGTGAGCTTTGCACGGCAGTTCCTCGTCGATAGTTGTTTTTGCAGTCATTACCTTGCCGTTCAACTTCTTCCCATGAAAAGCTAGCTTTAATTGATAATTTTTGCTTCCTTATTAGTTGGGGCATGTTCAAGCCCTATAGAGTTACTACGCCAGAGATGAGAAATGCCTAAAATTCTTGGTTCGGACTGGACGTTTATTTGGAGCATTTGAGAGCGATAGAATGGCCAGGCGAGGGCTATCGTGCATGATTCGATGAATTT